GATGCTTTAGATAACTACAGAACCAAGTTTCTGCTGCACAGTTTGAGGACTTGCCAGTTCTGAGAAGATAGACTGATTCCTCGTTGGTATCTTGAAAAGAATAAAAGAGCTGATGGAATTCAAAATATGATAGACTAGCAAGAGTTTTATTGCTATTCTCGTAATTCCACACAGTAATGCTGAGTGCGAGAGAGTCTTCGTGTTGTGAAGAAAACAAACTATGTTTCGTTCTTCAATTTCACCAAAACTCTAGAAAACATTTTATGCTAAAGTTATGAGGAAACTAATTGTTATGACAGAAATTTTCCAAAGAATTTTTTGGCTAAAGCCAAAAAATGCACTCTAAATTCATTGCAATAATTTTTTTTTAACATTAAGTCTTGTTTTATTTTCCTAATAATTTTTTAGTTACTACTTAATTGAGATTTACTAATGTAAGTACAATTTTTCTTTTTCTATTTGTAAATTATTTTTTTAATATCAAGCATGATATTAATTCTCATGTTCTTCTGAATTTGGAGAACTCTTCTGAATTTTTATCTTAGAGGTTGGCAGGTAGTATATCTTTTCTGAAAGGAACATTGAAAGGCGTGCTTTACTGTATTTTCTTTTAATATATCAGTTTTCAAATGCATCGCAGTCGGGTTACAAAGTATTCTTCAGAAAGAAACACAATTAAATAAATAAATCAAATTCTGGAACTTATATTAATAATATATTTAAAATGCTCAGTTCGAATGAATAGAAAATTTTTAAAATAATTATCGAAGAGACAATGCAACACTCAATTAAAGCAAAAGTCTAAAAATTATGTAGTATAAAGAAAACTATTAAAAAAAATTAAACGGTACACATTTGATTTAAACTACGCAGTTGGAATGAGTAAATAGAAGTTTTTAAAACAGTTATTCAAAAGAAACTATGCAACGTAAACAATTTAAATAAAAATTCGAAAAAGAAAAAAAATTACTTAAAGTTTATAACAATTATGGTTGATCTTTGGATTATGGTAACTTGGCGATTTTTTGGCGAAAATATGGCAACCAACTCTGCTACAGCAACCCTCTATTTTTTTTTCCCGCCGCCATTTTGTCTTCACGAAGTAAAGACATGTTTCTTTTCTTTTTATTTACTCAACACTTTTTCCAACAATCTACTAGCCGAATTACACTTATGCTAGAAATTTTATGTAACAAAACTGCTTAATCATGACAAATATTAACTGCAAAATTGGGAAAAAGTGCACAATCACAAACTCCTTGTGCGTTTTTCAGAATAGCACATACACATAAACCATTTACAAGTTGACTTATTTTTACTTAAAAAAAATCCCAGAATTTCAAAAAAATGGCATTGCACACACTCTTAACTTTATCCATTTACACTGCTATTTTCTCATAAATTACAAAAATTTGCACGAAAACGCAGGAAATTTTCTTAATCTTTAAACTCCGTAAAAAGCACATATATGAAATTACCTGATCGCGAAAAAGTATATACCCTTTTCAAGAATGACATTTCCACGTATAAAAAAATAAAAATAAAAGCTTTTACTCAAATTATTTATAAATTAAACTCACCAACGAATTTATATCAAACATTAAAAAGTTACAATACTTAGTGTCAAATATTTAAATTATTTCCATACACGTTTACTTCAACTGAAACATACAATTGTACAAACATAAAATCACAAAATACTATCATTTATTAAAATGACACGCGGCTTTTTTTACTTAAAAAAAATCCCAGAATTGCACAAAAATGGCAATGCGCACACTCTTCACTATATCCATGTACACTGCTTCTTTCTCATAAATTAAAAAAATTTCACGAAAATGCATGAAAATACTAACGTATTCTGCCTCAAACATATTCCAAATACTACAAACAGTAACTCACAAAATCACGATCATAAATTAAAATATAATTAAATTAAAACACTACTTAAATATAAATAACACATACATTATTAATTAAAAATTAGATTACAATCCTAATTACTTAAACTAAATCATTGCTAATACAATTTCCAATAATACCATATTAATTTATTTACTCCTTACATTTAGAACAATGATAAAATAATATCCTCAATGATTAAAAATACTAACTTACCTATCTTCTTCAAAATCTTCATTACGTGGCACGCACACTTCCGTACAGAAGAGTTCCAATCGGCTGCAGTACTACTGCAATTTCTAATCCAATCCATAGTCAACTGGCAGTCTATCACCCAATAATAAGAAATTAATTAAAATTCACCATATCAAATCTTTCAGAAAACCATTCCCTTCCTTACACCCTTTCACAAATGTCCATTTTCACCAATTTCTTGCACTGCCTTCAACTTATTTAAAGCTTCCTTCAACATCTCAACTTATTATTACAGTCAAAGTCGTTAATTCGGACACCCATAATCCGGAATGATCTATAATCCGGACCTCAAAGCTACAAACTTTCTGCGCATGCGTCGCATTGACGCATGCGCATAGGCGTTTACTCGGTCGCAAGACCTTTACGACTGCGAATATGCGTGTGCGCAATGCAAATAGTTTTACGCGTGCGCGTTTAATGTATAATGGACGGTATAAGCTAAAATTAAATTATCTATTTCAGTTAATGTTGCAGATTGCGTTGTTCCTTAATCTTCGAATTGGATCCGGCTTATTATTTTTTGCAGACTGTTAAGAGCAATTTTATAAAAGTAAGCTTGAACTTTCGATTATGTCAAATAGAATTTCCGATATGGAGCTCCCAAAGGATCTACAAAGCGAAAGTATGTTTCGATGTCCATCAAACAAAAAGTGGAATTGCTGCAAAAAATGGATAAAGCATATCTTTTGTTTATCTAACCATTCCGAAATCTGTTTATCAATTTCACGCTGCTCTGGCAGGGGCACGTCGCGGCGCGCAATGAACTGGAAGTTGATCTGTCAGCACTATCCTTATCTTCAGGGCAGATGTTTTTTATTTTATTTCGGCTTATAATTCCTTACTAAATGTAGTATTTCATCTCGATGTACTCCGTCTTTGATATGATTTAAATCAAATTCCTCGTCATTATAAATATCACGAATACAAATCAATAGTTTTCTGGTTGCAATTTTCTAATTTCGCTATGAGTAAGGTACTTTACGCATCCGCGCGTTGAAAGAAATGTTTAATAAAGTAAACAAATAAATATTAAGCTTTTTTTTTTGTAAATTTTGATACCCTTTAGATCATAATTGTTCTTTATTTCATAAATTACGGTTTCATATATTTTTAATTTTATAATTTCTGCATGCCATCTTACCAGATTTAAACTGATGATCTATAATCCGGAATCGTGAAGTCCCGACGAGTCCGATAAGACTTTTGACTGTATTAATTAAAAATTTAGAATTATTTACATAGCGCCATGCATCCGAAAAAATCAACACTTTTCACACAACCACGATGAAACTTGAAAATTTTTTCCAATTTACCACCTTTTATTAAGAACTGTAATTCGTCCATTGATGTCACATGACATATCTCATGATCTCTCATTTCCCTCACACAAAATAATGTGTGATCGGAACTGAGTACTTCTCACATTATTACCGAAGTCCTAGGTAGTAACCTTTATTGCCTACAAAATGTCGCCAAACTACCTGTTGCCATATTCCAAAGATCAGCCACAATTATAATTAAAAATATAAGATAAAGAACATTATTTGAAAGAAGGAACGATTGGGTCCTTTTATCCTCTCACACAGTATGTAAAAATGGAAATGAAAATAGGTTGCCACATATTAAGAAATTCGCTAAGTGAACTAAATTTGGCGCAACTGAATAAAGCGACAACCTAAATTGTTGAATTTCTCCATAAACGTCGCACCAATTTACAAAATGTAATATTAGCATAATTTGAGTTGTAGAATCGAAATCAAAAAGTTAGTAGTTTTCAAAAAGCCTGATTTTGTGTCAAAATTCCTATGTTAGAATATTGCTATATATGAATATTTAAGTAATACATATCTTAAGTCGCGATTTCGAGACATGAAGAACGCTATTTGAATTTCGTGAATCGGCCCAGTAGAACGGGAGATATAGAACTGTCCCCCCTTTTTTGGGGGGCCAGTGTACATGGATACCGAGTTTGGGCAATTCTTTGACTTGTTATTTTGGCTTTGTGTAGCAGTAATTCTAGCACCAAAAATTGCCGCTACACAGACAAAGAATTGCACAAAATCAGTATCCATGTACACATTGACCTATTTTCACTTAAAATCAAAGAATTGCACAAACTTGGCATTGCGCACTCCCTTGACTTTGTCCATGTACACATCGATATATTTTCATTTAAAAAGTCAAAGGAGCACCCAGTTCTAGGTAAAAGTATATTTACGGAACATTCAAGTGCTCAGGCTACAATAAATGTAGCAACAACTTCTCGATAATACAAGGGGTACCCTAAGTCTACTCTAACCAATTAGTACTATTTATTTCTCAGGTGTTGGCATAAATAACTGTTGTGTGTATTTTAATTATAATCTATTAAACCCAATCCTCAGAATTTCATTGATAAAACTTTTTCTAGTATTACTTAACACATTGTATCGCATTCCCTGCACTAGAGAGTTTTTGTTGATTTTATTTTTTTCATTATCCAAAAGATGTTTTGCTCTGTGAGATTTTGTGTGTGACATTTAAGATTAGGCAATTCCTTTTGCTATTTCTGTATGGTGATTATAAACTATTGTTGAAACTTAAATCCTTTTGTTTTGTCAATGAGGTTATGAGATTATTTTCATAGTTGACTGACCCCTTTTAAATTCAAAGCCTTATGTTATGTTTCTATTTTAAAACTATAATAATCTAGATATACTTTTTAAAAATTAAAAACTTTTATTGTCAAATATATTGATTATATATCCCTCCCCCCCAAAAAAAAAAAGACTTGAAAAAAAGGTTTTTGCCAGCATTGAAGCTTTTTTTCATGACTGATTAAAAACCTATAAATTTCTTCATAGGGAAAGCAAAAGAGAGTGATTCTGAAGTTGTAAATGATAATGATGAGGAGGAAGAGGAAGATGAAAAAATGGTAATCTAAACCTTTTCTATAATATTTGTTGTGCATTGAATTGATAGCATTTTTTTAATATGTGTTAAATATATGTTTTTAATTTTTTAGGATGAATCTGAGGACAAGAGAGGTATGTTTTTTCCTTGGTATTTTTCTTTCTCTCTTTTATCATATAAATTAGCTATTCTTTAATTTTCTTCTTTTTAATTCTGTTAGATGGCCAATCATTTTGGCCTCTAGCAAATTGTTAAATATCTGACGCAAATATCTATCCTACCTTGTGCGTAACATTTCTGATGTGGTTTGTCCTTCCAAATTTGGATGTAATATTCCATGGGATGTAGTTGTTATCGGTAATTAATTTGACTCTCAATTTAATAATACTGCCATTGAATTTTAACACTAGACATAAACAAGGAAGACTCCAAAGATGTTGAAAAAGCAGAAAACAAGAAATCTGAGAGTGATTCTGAAGTGCAGAAAAATGCTCAGTGCAATGGAAGTGATTCTGAGGAAGGTTCCGGAAAAGTTGTGAATTCTCGTCTTTCACCTCCAAAACCAGAAACTGCTCCTGTTGTAGCTCCTCTTACAGTAGAGGATGTGATCAAACTGGACACTTCATCTATAATCAAAGCAAGTGACAATGATTCACTAATTGTGAATCCTGATGACACCCAGAGTGATATTGATTCCTCTGTGAATGAAAAAGATTCTGTCAACGATGAACCAGTGCAAGAGGAAAGTCAAGAAAATGCAGCACAATCAGATTCGAAGTCATCAGGGAGAGATGCCACCACAGAAGGAGATTCTGAAGAAAAGCACTCTCCCAAGGAAGAGTCAGTTGCTAAAGACGATGAATCAAATGCTAATAATGTTTCTTCAGAGAATGCTAACTCCACTGAAAAAACATCAGAATCATCTCCTGCAACCGACAAGCAAAAGAGGTTCGTTTTTTAATTCAGAATACATTTTTGTTTTGAAGCTGCCATTTGTTTTTATTTGTTTTTGATTCTGTAGCCTCCAAATGTTCCAAAATAATTTTAATGAAAAAAAAAAAAAAAAAAAAAAAAAAAAAAATCTTACTTGAAAAATGTTTCAAATCAGCATTTTTCGACTTTCAGAAATGGATTTATAGTTCTACGTAATTAAGATTTAAATATTTGAGCTGAGTTATGTACATATATAGATTTGCCAATTTGTAACATAAAACTTGGGATTTGGAGGCTTTTTTTTAAAAAAAAAAATATGTATAGAATCACCTCCATCAGAATTTGGAAGGTAATTACTATGGAGGCACTGATAGAATCAGGTGGGAAGAGAATTACTGAAAGATGTTAAGATTTGTAGTAGTTTCATTAGAAATTTTCTAATTTATGAATTTCGGGGTAGTGGGTCAGTCTTGGGACGTTATGTAACTAGGCAGAGTGAGAAGCTGTTAAGTGGAAATTTTAAAAATAGTATATTTATTGTGTTATTTTCTAATTAAAAATACAGCATACATTTTCCAAGCTGTCTTACTGTTTGATAAAAAATTCATGTTCATGAAATTTAGTTGTAGGTTATGTTGCAATGCAATTAGTTCATTACATTATAAGTGAGAAATATTCTTGACCACATTGGCATAGAATGCCCTTCAAACACTTTATACAGAATGTCATTTAGGAGGGAAACATGGAAAGCATGTAATAAACTGATATTTCATTTAACTAATTTCCTAGAATTTAATTGTTTTTATAGTAACTGATTAATGTATCATATGTGTCGGTTGTTTTCAGCTAGAATAACGTATTTCCGTTCAAACTGTTACATTTTTTGAAGAACAAGAACATGTATGTGTTCATCTTAAAGCAACTTTCTTTTTTCCTTGGTGTTACAGTTTTGTTTATGGTTTTCTCTCATGTTTCAAAATTTTAGGAAATATTTTGTGACAGACATGAGGATCCAATTTCATTTTTTAAGATGTTGATTATGAAATGACACTCAGAGAGTGGTTCTTATTTGGAAATGTCAAGATTAGAATTATGAAGAAATGGAACAATGTAGAACTTGTATTGGTTCTATCCCCATTTTTCTTACATCTCACCACATTTGCACACATTGTATTAAAGTTGTTGCTGTATACAACTATGTTGTTTTTTATATGCTTTTAGGATGTCTGTATATAGATGTATGCATCTGTATATGATTATATATATGTCTTGACACCACAGTATATGTCAACAACCTAGCAAAAATGTTATTCTGACTTATATACAAGGTTTGAAACAAATACTTCAATCTGGAACTGCTATCTCGTCCATTTTTTTAAACTAGACTATTCTGTATAACTGGATGAGAATGGAAAACTACAAGGCAGCTGATTTTTAATGCATGGACTTCTTTGCATCTTCAAGTGGACACATGCAGTGATTTATAAACTTGAAAAGCTGGTAAAAATGTACATTTGATATAAAAAAGTGCAGATGTTCAGCTGGCATATATTATTGTTGTGTGTGTGTATTTAATTATGGCAAAGTACACAAGGACTATCTGCCTAAGGGGAGGGATGCCTTCGTGGAGGACTTTCTAAGGGAAACTGGCTCGTGTACGCGTTACACATGGGGAAAACCACGAAAACGCACATGCAGCCAGCCCGTTTGCGGGATTCGAACCTCGGACCGAACTACCAGTGTTCAGCGACTTAACCGCTCGGCCGCTGATGGGCCCCTGTCTGCACTTTGAAAACATGCATATTGAAGCTTTCCTTTCTTTTATTGTTTTGTATTCCATGTAAAGGGAGCAAGTGCATGACCAACATCTGTTACCTTTTGCCTTTGGATGTGTACCATGGCAGAAATTATGCAAATTGCTTATTTCATATATTTTGTTTGTAAAGTTAGATATCAAGACAAGCCATGGATTCCTGGTGTTTATCTTAGTATCTTTTCAATGAACCTAAGGTTGCATGGCTGCATAGGAAAGAGAAGGAGGAAACCTAATTTTGTAACTTGACTGCTATTTCTGCAAAGCACCCTGTTTTCAAGAAATAAATAATAAGTGAAACTGCAAATTATCAAATTATCTGTAATAAAGCTTGTACTATACTAAAAGAACTGCATTTTTGAAATCTCCAAATTTTACAGTAAAGGGTAATGTAGATGAATCAGTATTATCAAGGATGCTCATCAAATGGTCCTGAATTGATATTTAATGTTTATGAGAAGTTGTTGAAGATAATACAGGAAATTAAAACGGTTTCAAATGGAATTTAGAAAGCCCAAGAATAAAGCAGAAGCATTTGCCTCCGAGTTCAAACAGTGAAATCACATTAAGAAAATATAAATGTTCCTCTGCTAACAAGACTAATTCTTTTTAAAAGATGTCTTAGTTTCTGCAGCAATGCTAACAGTGTTGCATCAGCTTTGTTCATCATTCAGAACGAGTGGCATTTGTTCAGAGATTTGACAAAGGTCAGATTGAAGGCTGTTGTGGTAATCCCTCTGGCACACTCAACCGCACTTGCAGCTAAAAGAACTATCTTAATTTTATGCAGTACAGAATCATGAATGGCATGTTTATTGAGATTTTAAATTTGTTGCTACTGTAGTGACATAATAACAGTGTTATACTAAATACAGTTGTGTTTTTGTAAGTAATATGATCAAAACAGAGGGGATTATTACAAGAAGGGGTTTGCTTTATGTTCTCTAAACATGGGTCTAAATCATGCCATATTAAGCTGATTCTTAGTTGTATTTATACTTCTTCCTCTATGTCTTAAATTTGAATTCATGAACGGTTTTGAAAACTTGATGGGAGGACAGTGCTTTTGCGTAGTTCTGTTAGCTGTTTTTTAGTTACCACAGAGAAAAATCAAGTAGGGAATACTTATTGTTTCCCCAAATCAAACAACAACTTAGCATGGAGAATTAAAATTTCATTTAACAGATAGTGAAAAGGAAAAATATAAGGCCTAGAGTTTTGTTGTGAAATGTTTGTCAGAAATTGTTGAAACAGCATGAAAAAAACTGAGATACAGAATATCTCTGAAACTACATATCCCCTACTTTTTATTAAATGACACATTGCAATGCACTGGTGGTGAACAACTGTTTTAAGATATTATCAATATTGAGAAGTGCTCCGAACGTATTAAAACTTCACAGTTTTGGTGGTGCTATGGATACAAAATGTAAGGGAAAGTGGAAAAATTGTATTCAAAATTTGTACATGCATTAATTTCACATAAAATAGCATCTCATTAAGCTTTGTACATGCATTAATTTCACATAAAATAACATCTCATTAAGCTAATTTCTCAACTTCAGATAAGAACCAATCTCACATTTGCATTGTCATTTTGTCGTCATCCCAAAAATATGTGATTGGATACTTCTTTCTCTGTTACAAAAATATTGTTGAGTAGTATTATAGAGGTGCCAGTTTTAGATTGAATGAAAAGTATTATAGAGGTGCCAGTTTTAGATTGAATGGAAAAAGTGGTGAAAAGTTGTTATTTAAATGCATATTAAAAAGGATTCTTCCCTCTTCTAATTTGTTTCCAGTAGTTCAAAGTGAACCGTTTTTGAATAGTTGTGCAGATATCTAGTTAATGGTTATATTAATTGGTTGTTTTTAATAACCAAGTTTTGTAATGGAAGTAATTGTAAAGTAAATCAGCAGATATTTAGTATCCTGCTCTAGTGGGTGAAGTTTGGTGATTAGGTACAAATTCTTTTCTCATAGACAGTGTATGAATATTGTTTCCATTAAGAATAATCCGTTATATTTTAATACTGTTCATCTATTTTGTGTAAAAACAGTCATGAAAATCAAGTAATTTACTGCAGTAAATATGATTTAATAAAAAGCTGGAGATGATGACTAAATTTTTTCCTCTCTTAACTTTTATAGCTTAAGTTCGTTTCAATGTAAGCTGTTTAAAAGTGAAAATTAAAAGTAACTGCATAAATTTTGCAATTTTTTTTAATGGAGGAATTTTAATTTAGAATATATTCCAAGAGGATAAATCATAGTTCTGTATTAAGAATAATTTTTTGTTCTGTTTGAAATATACCATTATTCCTAGAGTAATTTTATTTTTTGTGGATTTTTCAGCTCTGCAGATGTTGCAAAGAGTTCTGAAAAAGGTTAGTATATTATTATAACATTTTACTGTAGATATAAATTATGGTGTATAATTACCATGAAATTTTTTGCCAAGATGTGAGGTTATTTTAGTCTATATACATTAATTGGACACAAAATTATTTTTTGCGTCCAATTAATGTATTATAGACTAAAATTTTTTGATTGTAGTAGCAGGAAATGTGATAAGTCACCAAATATGGTATCCTTGTTAAAACTAAGTATGGAAATGCAATATTTGATCAGCAACTGATTTCTGGATCTACAAAATTGTATGTGGTGGCTCACATTAGTTTTCGGACACTTGTGTTTTTCAGTTTTATATCCAAAACCAGTTGCTAAATATTAGCGAAATTACTTTATACTATTGATCTTTTTTTTTAAAACTTGCTTATTTTCTAAATGTTTATGGTTAAAAAGGAAATTTATTTAAAAGTTGTGAAAAGAAACAACCACAAGCATTCGGATACCGAATGGATTCAACTTTTTTTTTTGTGATGTGTGTGTGTGTGTAGCAGTGTTAGCTTCTTCATTCTCTCTCCAAAATCACTCCATATCCGTTCGATAGGATTCAAGTCCAAAGAATATGGTGTAATTTTGGTATCTTACAGAACAGCTTCATAATAACCACAAGCTGACATTTGGGGCTTTACTTTTAAGATTGTTATACTGATAGAACTTAAATGCAATTTGCCTTCCAAGATTTTTTGAAAATGTTTCCAGGTTTCATTAAAAATATTTATATATACATTCTTGGACCCCCCCCCAAAAAAAAAGAAAACTATGCACCAAGAAGGAGTTATCTCCGAAAGGGACGAAAATCGGTGAAAGTTATGTGCATGTACAGAAAAACAAATGATTACAGTTTGCGAAAAATTGGATGATTTCTTGAAGTGATAGAGCTTCACAAAGTGAAGAAGTCAGTAACACGTTTGTCCACCTCTGACCCTTATGCAAGCAATTATTCGGCTTGGTATCGATTGATAGGTGTTGCGGATGTCCTCCTGAGGGATATCGTGCCAATTTCTGTCCAACTGATGTGTTAGATCGTCAACATCCCGAGCTGGTTGGAGGGCCCTGCCCATAATGCTCTAAATGTGCTCAATAGGAGAGAGATCCGACGACCTTGCTGGCCAAAGTAATGTTTGGCAAGCAGTAGAAACATGTGCAGTGTGAGAGCTGGGGGCATTATCTTGTTGAAATGTAAGCCCAGGTGTCGTGACATAAAGGGCAACACAACGGGCCTTAGAAATTCGTCGACGTACCGCTGTGCTGTAAGGTTGCGATGGAGGACAACCAAAGGGGTCCTACTATGAAATGAAATGTCACTCCAGACCATCACTCCTGGTTGTTGGCTTGTCTGCCAGAAGACAGTCAGGTTGGTATCACATTGCCGTCTGGGGCGTCTCCGGACTCTCCTTCGCTGGTCATGGGGCCAGTTCAAGGTGGAGACTGGATCACTGAAGACTTCTACTCCAGTCAGTGACATTCCAGTGAATGAGCATGACAATCCCTGCACCGGGCTTGACGTTGTACAGAGGTCAATGTTAGTTTGCGCAGGGGCCAATGTCTCAGCCCCCTTCTGTGAGCTGTCTGTGATGGTCTTGTGGTCACTGAAGCACTAGTTGCATATACAATCGTGATAATGATGTATTGGGGCTATGAGGCTGCTGACGTTGATGTCGTTACGTTCTGCCGTTCTCTAGGGCCTACCGCTCCTTCTTGACGGTGGTGGCATGGTTCACCCGTTCTGCCAACATTGTTCTAATATGGCGTTCCTGCTCAAGATCAAGCTATTTCGCGCTAGACAACCGCTTATTGAGCCCAATTACCCCCTCTCTCAATTTTGCCCTGGCATATCGTGTGCACCTGTATGTGAGGCATAGTTACTTCCCAGAGCACAAAGATTGAAATCGTGAAGAATTATTTCTGGAATCATAATTTTCTCGTCTTAAATAGCGTGCTAGTTGCGCAGATCAGATGCAGTGTAGCGACAGCCATTCATTCATTGGCAGCCAAAATGTACAATTTTGCATTTTCCGTCAAAACCTGTATCCATATCAGTTTGTGTCCAATTTGCTTTATACCTTCTCGGTGCGTCTTGTTTTTTTTTTTTTTTTTGTCGAAGAGTGTATTTTATTCCATATTATTTTCAATAACACTAAATTTCTTATCCCAAGGGCAGCAAAACTTCTCCGAACCTCCCGTACATAACATTATGCAATACGTTTTTCAAATTAATTTCTTAATTCAAATTTTGCCACATATTAGTTTGCCTATCAGCCTCCAATATATTAAATTTCAACTTTTCTGCAAATATAACTGTTCCAATGCGATAAAACATTGCTTAGTATAAATTTTGTGAATGCCAGGCACTTTCCCTTGTGTTCTTATTGACAAAGAATTTCCTTCTTGCTGATCGCCCATTATACAATGGGTTGTAATGACTTTTCTAATGGTTTCAGGGTTAGCTTTTATTACAAACCATTATTCTAAATTCGCTGACTTTTACAGCACCAATTTTTCAGTGTTTGCTTTTTCATAAGGTAAATCTTCAATTATTTATTTTAGTTTGGAACGTGATCCAGCCTTCTGTGCATTTTGAATCTGCATTGTGTTTAATGCGTCAAAGATATTTAAACACTCTTTACCAAGGATTTTTTTAATATTTTAAATACTTTACCTTTAAAGCCATGAATCGATTTTTAAAGCACAACTTCTTGTTAATTTGTAGTGTTTTGCTCTGCTGACTTCAGATGAACCGCTAGTAATTTTTCTGAACAAGTAATAATTTCCAAATGCAGACGATTCTTGTAATATATTTTCATTAAAAAAAAGGGATGAAAGATAAGAAACAGTCTTTATAAAATATCTCAACAAAATTTTGGAAAGTCTGTATTATTATTTAAGTTATTGATGGAACATTTCTGGAGTAAATTATTTTCTTGCAAAGAATACTTTCACGATATTTATTTTTTGTAACAAGGAAGTCTTAAAATGGAGAAAAATAATATATTAATAAAACATTTAGTCTTTAATTCAATATTTAATACAAGATTTATGCAAATAAGTATGAAATAATACATGTCTGAAACAAATGTGAACCACTGTATATAATTGACTTGCAGTTTTTAAATATATCTTTTTAAAAACTAATACCCTGTTTGTCAAATTTTCTGAGAATCGATATAGTTTTAAATCCTTCATTTGCAGGTTAAATGGCTTCAGAAGAAACATACTCGTTTGTTTCTCAGGAGATACTGAATATTCATAGCTTAGCTTTTATGTTGAGTATACTAATGACTTGTAGAGGTAATTGCCATGAAGGGTTTCATTGCATTTATCATCAAAATATATGCCACTTTGCTGTAATTATTACCAGTAGACAAAGTTCATTCTTTAATGTCACAAACAGAAAGAAACAATTTTTCTGATTGTGGGAAATTTTTCTCATTTATACTTTTATATCAGAACAATTGTTTTAATTTATTAAAAGATTTTACCTCTCTTCTCAGTGCAGTATTTCATTGAATAAGTTGTTATATCTTCCAAAAAAGATATTTCCTTTTAGAAATTCAACTTACATGTGTTATTATTCTTTTTACATTCTGAAGTCTTTTCAAAGCTGATCCATTTTGAATTCACTGTGTGATGAGATTTGATTTCACCGTCTTTCTGTGTTCGCAAAATAAAAATCCAGAAATTCTTTTATAAATTCTGTCTTTTTATAGAACTTGAATTCACGAATACGAGCATAATTAATTATCGGGTGCATTTGAGATCCCCTAAAAACAGTTTTGAGATGATATTATATTGAGCACCACTAAAAAATTTCATGTCATCTGATTTGTTTCGTGGAAAATAAGAGGAAGTTGTGTATTTATTTTTGCAGAACAGTGAATTTCTATTTTATTCATATATAGTCACATTTTCTTCTGGAATGTCATGAAAGCTCTAAATCTTAAATATTGGCCTTATTTCTCGTGATTTCATTTCTTATCTCTCAGGTCTTAACAGTAAAGACTATTTAGTGCACATTTCTTGTCCTCATTGCCTGCTCATGATGGTAATACAGTCAATGATTTTGACCCATAAATTCTTCATCCAAGGCAGTCTTTTTTTTTTTTCTTTTCAGGCCAGGCTTTAAAGTTTTCCCAATGATTTCTGTTCGGTCAATTTCCAGTTCATTGATTTTCCATATACAAGTGATTTTTGAATGGTTCATTTATTGCACTATCAACTATCTAGAGCTTTAATTCTTGCAGGAGTCATTGGTTGATCTATTTTTCTTTGAGAGGAATCCTCTCTTTTGTTTGGGAAGTGCTGGATAAGTATCTTAACTAGTATCAGACCCCTTTTCCACATTGCAAAACGAGATATAGAATTAAATAAACTCTTATTTTTCGTTGCTTGTGTACCAAACATTTTTGGTTACAAGAAATTAAATAATTGAAGTAAATTCATTCCTTCTTGGCCTGAGTGATGATTACAGGTGTGGCTTTCTTTCCATTCAGATAAATTGCAAAAATACGGGTAACATATGCACTTTGATAATTGGTGAATTGAATACAGATTGATGTCATTTGAGATCCTTGCCCATTCACAGTGCAGTTTCATCCATAGCAATCATGCTGGCAGAGATGGTGTTTTTAAAAGGCAATATCATTAATTAAGACTTAACTTCAAATGAACATTTAATGTTTTTGATATCTTCCAGCAAGAAGGCCACCAGAATTCTACCGTGTGCAAGTTTCTCTCGAAAGAAAGTCTGACATTACTTCATGCTAAATGTTCATGTTCCTCCCCCCCCCCATGATTAAAATGAAATTTCTGAGAGTGGCATACAAAACTTCGCAATTATTAAAATTGTCACCATATTGTGCATTTTAAATCACTTTTCCACCAATTAAGTAGACAGTATCTGACAGCTATAATATCCAGGCATTTGAAGTCTGTGCAACAAATGGTAAATTTAGATCTAATATAAGCATTTGTATTCCTTGGAATTCAATATCTGCTTCAAGTGTCTAAATTATATTCAAGTAGATATTATTAAATATTCTAGTTTTAATAAACTTGTAAACTTCAAAGTTGGTATGGATTTCTTTCAGGCTACTAAATGTTTAGAAATTAAGTTTCTTAGTTTGTTCAGAATTAAGAAATCAATATTAAATGTAAGGTAGTAAACAGAATGTATTCTTATAATAAGCTATAAACATTTCTTACAGATTCTTCAAAAAAGGCAGATTCGTCAACAAAAAAGAGTTCACGTTCTACTTCATCCTCTGGTATGACGTGTTACTTAAATTTGTAATTAATATTTTTACTTTTTTGCACATTTACTCAAATAAAATTTTTCTTCGGAAGCAAAATACCAAAAAGGTATTAATGCAGGATGGCTTTTTTTGCTAGAGTACAACCAATCAGATCATGTTGCAGCTTTTCAAAAAAAAAAAAAAAATCGCAGTAAAATCGCTGAGAAATACTCAAGCACGAGGACAAAAAGGGCTGCAGTTTTAGAAGAAATTAGTTTGAAAAATAAATCGTCAGTTATTGGTTGCATTAAAACAGTTCCATTCTGCCTCTCTACGGAAAGCAATAATACTCATGCAAAACTGTATCCAGTTGTTGTTTCTTTCTTTTTTTTTAAATTCAGTTCCTTCAGAAATTGTTGTTTACTTTCTGCCCCCACTTTAGAAGAGACTGAAATTCAAGCACAGCTAAATTATTAAAACTCTTAAAAGAAAGTGCAATTCTTCAGGATACTTGCTTAGCACTTAGTGCCACACCAGGCATTGACCAGGAATTATAGGCTTGAAGATTGATGATGCAGGCATTTGATGTGGTTGAACACATTGTTGGTATTTATTATAATCTTGGAAAGATCGTTAAAGGGAAGAAAATTGTAATTTCCATCAGCTGCATAATAATTGAAATAAGGAAAAATGTGAAATATGTATGTGCATACTTGTTATCTGTATAAAGAATTATTTAGCTAGAATCCTCAACCAATGGAACCCACTTCTTCCATTTTTTAAGCAAGAAGTAAATGCTTCTAAAATTAGGCTCTGTTGAATGTTATAAATTATCACAAGTAAATGGAAATGTAGTTATTACTTCTGTTGTTAAAAATAGGTGAGAAAAATTAAGTAATTTCTGCACTTGCAAGCAGTTTAATTGGCAATTCTCAAAATAGTTTTTTTAAAAAAATCCAATATAAACATAAAGCTCTCCCAAAATATATTTAAAAAAATCACTTGACAAGGGACATTCATTGATTGATGATGATTGATAATGCAGGCATTTGATGTGGTTGAACACATTGTTGGTATTTATTATAATCTTGGAAAGATCGTTAAAGGGAAGAAAATTGTAATTTCCATCAGCTGCATAATAAATTGAAATAAGGAAAAATTGTGGAAACGTGTGTATGTGCACACTGGTTGTCTGTTAAAGAAATTGCTTTAGTCTAGAATCCTCAACCAATGGAACCCACTTCTTCCATTTTTTAAGCAAGAAGTAAATGCTTCTAAAATTGAGGCTCTGTTGAATGTTATAATTATCACAAGGTAAATGGAAATGTAGTTATTATTACTTCCTGTTGTTAAAAATAGGTGAGAAAAATTAAGTAATTTCTGCACTTGCAAGCAGTTTAATTGGCAATTCTCAAAATAGTTTTTTTAAAAAAATCCAATATAAACATAAAGCTCTCCCAAAATATATTTAAAAAAATCACTTGACAAGGGACATTGATTGATGATGCAGGCATTTGATGTGGTTGAACACATTGTTGGTATTTATTATAATCTTGGAAAGATCGTTAAAGGGAAGAAAATTGTAATTTCCATCAGCTGCATAATAATTGAAATAAGGAAAAATGTGAAATATGTATGTGGCATACTTGTATCTGTATAAAGAATTATTTAGCTAGAATCCTCAACCAATGGAACACCACTTCTTCCATTTTTTAAGAAAAGTAAATGCTTCTAAAATTAGGCTCTGTTGAAATGTTATAAATTATCACAAGTAAATGGAAATGTAGTTATTACTTCTGTTGTTAAAAATAGGGTGAGAAAAAGTATAATTTCTGCACTTGCAAGCAGTTTAATTGGCAATTCTCAAAATAGTTTTTTTTAAAAAATCCAATATAAACATAAAGCTCTCCCAAAATATATTTAAAAAAATCACTTGACAAGGGACATATTTTCCGATTATTGCAAGTTTATCTTGTGAAGAATGAATGTTTATGCTTTAGTCTTCGGAACTTCACAAAACTTTGTTTTTTTGTACGCTCCATTTTGCCATCATTAAATATTCTTAACACAATTCAACAGTGCAGAATTACATTAATTCATGTTTTGCAGTCAATGATTAGTGATCTGGTTGAAGTATTTAATGATTAGAGTATTCTGTTATTAGAATGTACAAGTAATAAAACTATTTTTTATATGTAAGTATTTTTGCATTATTTGAACTTAAGAAATAACTGAACTTTCAGATGTCAATTAGTTACTATTTTGCCGATGTCTGTTCATTATTAAAAAATAAATTTTCATTGTACATATTTTTATTATTTAAGAAATTCCTTTGTAGTTGAGAAAATTCTGATTTCTTAAAAAAATCACCTGATTTTTGAGTGTCTTAGGTTGGAAAGTATGCCTTTGTGTTACTGGTTTATTTTTCATTAAAGAGTTTGGATCCTCTTGCAAAGCATAGCCACTCTGGTTGGTATAAAAGTTTTTAGTGCTTCCCAGCTAGCTGCTGTATCGATGCACTCTGGTTCATATTTCTGGAGACGGCGTAGTTGTTTGTATATAGCATCTATGCATCATGGTGGCACTCAAAGTACATGTCAAAATTCTTCTAATTTGTTTTTATGCACAAGGAAGGAGGGACGGAAGACCTTTCCTGGGTGTTCTCTATCAAAATTGGGGCAGAGCTTAACAGATAATGTATCTGGACAATCAGTGATCAATTTCTGATGTCCCATCCCACTTGTACCTGTCCCAAAGAATGTTTTTCAATTAGTGTTGACTGTATGAAAAATCAATTATTATCGGTAGTCATTTATATCATTTCATTGTATGAATGTGGTTATATTAGTTTTTATGAAAACTGGAATTAATGCAGTGTGGTTGTTAAAAATTATTGGACACCTACATGGGATTTTTCCAAAAACAAGTTTTCATCAAATAATTCTTTTCATTGATATGTAGTATCATGTAAATACTGTTTTCAATGTGTTAAAAGAATTTGGGCTTCAGTATGTGCAATTTGCGGTCAAATCAAAACACAGTCGAGGCAAATACTGTTTTCATTCTCATCTTGAAGTCATTTGCAGCAATTATGAAGAAATATATTACTATTAGACTCATCAAAAACAAGTTTATTGATTCTGTCACCCTTGGGGTTGATGCTGCTCATAGCACAGGGCACATTCTATTGCTGAATCTGATAAAAAAATTTGTAACTATAATTCAGACTTGTATTCATTCAATATCAATTAAAGCATAATGAATATCTGAGTACCTATGCAATGTAAGTTTTGATTAGGAACTAGAATTTATATGTTGTTTTAAAATACAATTTTCTGTTATGTTTGAGAGATGTGGATATTCTTTTCATTCAATTCAATTTGTATATTTTAGGAGAGAATGTGAAACGAGTTTCAGCTAGCGGAAAAAATTTGTGGGTTAGTGGCTTAGCAGAGAAGACTAGAGCAAATGATCTGAAATCTCTCTTCAGCAAATTTGGAAAGGTAATAATTTTATTTAAAGTTTCCTCTTTGCCCTTCTTATTATTTTTTTAAATGAAAGCTTCAGAATAAATAAAAATACATTTTATAAATTTTATGTTTACAGGTATTAGGAGCAAAAATTGTGACAAATGCTCGAACCCCCGGAGCTCGTTGTTACGGCTTTATTACAATGAATACTAGTGAAGAAGCTCTTGTTTGTATTGAGAAGTTAAATCATACTGAACTTCATGGAAGAATTATAACTGTAGAAAAAGTAAGTGGTTTCTTTTTGCAGCAGTTATGGAGGAAGATATTACTATTTGATTACGTTTCTAACTTAAATAGCTTTAAGAACAAGTTTATTGGACCTACCACTTTTGAGTTTTAAGCTGCGTTCACAAAGTGTCAACGCTTTCCGCGTACGTTAGTTCACACCAGCGTGGCAACTTTCGCTTATAATCAGTCATAATAAGTTATCATATAGTCGCACTAGATGACACTTCATATCGGAAGCTCGGGGAAAACATGAAATTTTTGTCTGGTATTTTGACGTTTTACGAATACATTTTTTAATTAAAATGGAATTTAATTTCTGCTTAATTTTACTTTTTGCTTTGTGTAAGAGAAGCAGAATGCAGTGGTTTATATTAATATGTGAGAGATCACTGCAGCAAGAAATGCTATTGAACGAAACAAAATTTCTTTTAATTACATTTAATTTGAAGTAACTGCATTTTATATAATACTCTTTTTTTTTTTTTTTTTTTTTTTTTTTTCTTTCTTTGAAAATTGAATTCCACAATTAGCAAATTTGCTAATTCTTATGCAAAAGCTTTTTAAATTAATGAAAAATTCTCATCAAGATTAAACCTGTCGAAAAGTGGTCATGCATGTTAAGAAAAACAAACATCAAACTATTAAAATGCGTAGTATTCCATAAAATCAGCTACATACTAGCTAGCTTCTTTCTTGTATATATAACAGTTTTCTTAATTTTTTTTAAACAAATGGTTTACTCATCACCACTCGTTTTAAATTCAGATCTCACTAAATTTTTTAATTAGATGAAACAGCAATTTTATACCAATACCAGTATTGCTTTTGCTAGTCTCGTGTAGGCCAAATGTCAAAAGAAGGATAAATCACACAATGTCGAGTGAAAATTAGGTTTATATGAATGATAAATGAAATGAAAAATAAATGCAAGCTTCTTCCGTTGCCCCCCCCCAAAATGTCATGATAGATAAAAAAAAAAGGTACCACTATTATCAAAGGTGCTAAAGGAGTATCTAAAAGGTTCGTACTATCATCAAAGGTAGGAAAAAGCAAGACCCAAACCTCCGCAATACAAGACCCTAGTAAAAGCTTTCTACTGAGCACGTAACCTTTGCACTAAGATATCTTACAGGTAAGTGTGGATTTCACACTTAACCTTCAGGAAACTGAAGAAGCATTGGCTACTCTGAAATTAGCAATATTTTCTGTAAATATTTTTTTTTTTTTTAAATACCAACTCCATTACAACACCACTCCTGGTGAGGCTTGAATCCAAAATCTCAAGAAGCCAATGTTTTATCCACTAGGCAACAAGAGCAACCTTAAATTGATGTACATATATTTTAAAAGTTCAAAATCTGGAATTTCAAAATCCATCACTGTTTTCTCGCAACAATCTATTGCTTTAGATTGTTCTGTAAAAATTATGAACCATGTATCATTTATAGTTGATTATTAATGTTTATTACTGCTAATAAACTCGAGAATTTGCTTTAAATAATTTTTAAAGCTATTTATTGTATTAGCATATGCATTTTTTAATTATTATTTGAAATTTTTAGTAAGATTAGTTCATTTGACTTTTTTCCACCAAGAATTTTTGAAAGTGCAGTCATTTAAAAACCGTGGTATAAACTGGACATTTGAAACAAAATGCCTGAAACTGACGCGCCAAAAAGTTTGAAGTTAAATCGACTCGCGCGGTTTCCGGCCATCCAGCAAATGTCGCTCCTGATTGGTTAACGCTTTACGCGTGACCGCGTTGATTTGAACGCAGCTTAATGCTTCGATTGATGTTGCTTGTAGCATGGGACACAATCTTAATAATTATTTTTGGAAGACAAGTGTACTTGTGAATGTCATGTAAATAACATGCAAAGTTTTAAGATGTAGCATTGTTTTTGAAAGGTTTGTAAAATATAGCATACTAGATAATGTATTTTCTATGTGATTATTTTCCCACTAGTTACAATGCGCACTGCCTTTTCTTTCGTTGTCAGAACTTTATCACATGCATTAATTTTTCAGTTTTTCTGACATTCATAATTCACGTTTATATGTAAGGAAGACCTTCATTCAACAGTGTGAAATTTGCTTGTTTTGAGTTGCTCTAAATATGATCTTACAAATATTACACGTAACATTATCTGAATTTTGATTATAGCAAATCACGCAAGGTGTATGTCTTAAGTGGCAGATGGAGGTCTAATTGCTCATGTGCATATTACACACACAAGCCTGATGAGTGGTTGAATGGTTAAAACTGCTGAATACTGGTAGTTCCAGAGTAGCCAAATGGGCTGGCTATATGGTTTATTTCATAGTTTCTCCCATTAGTAATGTCAGTGGTCTATTTTTCTTAAAAAGTTGTTTACAAAGCTATCCCTCCGCACAGACGGGTTTTCCTTTACATACTTTACCATACTTATATAATGCAATTCATGTTGCACTTTGGGTAAACACAAAACTTAGTGCAGCTAATGCATTCACCATCACTTAGAGTGCTGAGCTGTAAAAAAAACCGTAGGTAAAATTTTTCCTTGTTTGAGCTCTTTACACATCAAATTCATATTACTAAAGTTTTTTTTCCCTGTATTTATTCATGAATATCTTTCTGTAGCAATGTTCTAGGTGAAGTTGCATCACTGTGCAATGTAATTTCATTGGTATTTCTTTACTTTAATGCTCTTTCTTAACGGAGTTTGCTTCATCTGTAATAACATCTACATCTGGTTGAAGAATAAATATAGAAATACTGAAATTATCACTGTTCTGTGTAATAGATTTGATTAACATTAGTTTTTGTATGCTTATTCAGCAGTCTTAAGAGGGCTTTGGTATGATTGTGTGAGTATATATATTGGATTCTCATCCGGTGGTACGCAAAGAAGAAAAGTATTTTTAACAATTAAATTCATAAATTAAAACTCCAACATCCTGATTGAGTTTTTCCTCTAATACTTATAAATTTATGCAATCTGAGCTTTGTTCAAGAGTGGTGGTATATCGTATACTTTTTTGCAATGGTTACTACTGTTCTGTTTCTTTCAACATTTAGTAAACTATTTAAGAAAATACTTGCATATTAATTAATGCAAAAGCACTTGTGTAATAAACTTGAGAATTTTCCTTTAAATAATTTCCTTTAATAATATAAGAATTTTCCTTTAAATTTTTTTAATAAGCTGTTGATTTTATTATTTTAGCTATTATTATTATTTATTTAAAGCTATTATTCGAAGTTCGGCAGTTTTTTACAAAGAAAAAAAGAGTGGTATGAGCCATAATTTAGTTCACCGGCAAAAATTTACTTACTACACATATATATATTCTATATGTGTAGTAAGTAATTACTTACTACACATACATTCATAATACAATACAACAATTATGATCCAAAGGGTATCAAAATTTACAAAAAAAAAAGCTTAATATTTATTTGTTTACTTTATTAAACATTTCTAAATAGTTATTTATCGTAAAAATTAATCAATAATTCTACTTACATACTGGTTTTTCTTTCTTTGGTGGAAATTTTGTAGCATTCGCTTTGATTCATGATAATTGTTCCTTTACTAAATTTTACAATAGTTTCTTCCATTGCTGGCTAATTTCTCAAGCTCAGATTTTAAAACTAAGTTTACCCTTTGCGGCACAATGTGTCTGATCTGGACACACCTAAAAATTTCCTTCTGTATGGACAGAAAAATTGAATGAAAAAGGATTTATAGGTTACTCTGAACCTTCTTTATTTATAGTAGATGGCAGCTCAACACAAACCAGTCCATATATTTTAGCCATGTTTAGTTTTTTAAAACCCTAATTTTTCAAAGAAATCTTCCAGATTTTTTTGGGGGGTATAAAAGGAATTGTTTGAAAAAAATTTATATGCTATTTTTTTGGCTGTGTGCTAATCTCCTTTTTCTATATTAGTTTTAAATTTTGCTTTGAAATCTTGCCTAAAATGAAACGGTGAACCCTAGTTGGGCCAGACCAGGCTCACCAATAATCTAGGTCAACTGAGAGTCTGGATTCTTTGTTTCTCTGCATCTAAATGGTAAGTTCATTGACAACAATGCTCGTTTCAGCACTCTTTTAGAAGCTCTATTCAATCAGTGTGCCCAATTTGGGCACACTCGCAGAATTCAAAGTACAGTGCTATCTTTACAAAATTTTACTTGTATACTCCTCTAGGCCTAATTAGACTGCCTAGCTTTTTTTTTTTTTTTTTTTTTTAAATCAAAACTCCAACTTTAAAAGGTAGCGTGCCAGAAAGGGTTAAGGCAAAAAATATCGGGATTTTTCTGTAAATTCGAACTTGAAATGCAACAAAACGCACACGTGCAAAAATGGCGGCATTCCTTAATCGAAGAATTGTCATGCACATGAGTGCCAGAGTTTCATACATTCTAAAAATTTGGCTACTTCTATTAAGATGGTTGCGATAATACACAAGTGCCAAGAAATAACTCGATAGTATATTTGAACATTCCATTCTGTAATTTTTGGTGTATGTGAAATTTGATTTTCCCTAAGAGTAATGGATATACAGTAAGACCCCGCTTAATGCGGGGGATACGTTCCATCAAAGTAGAGCGTAATGCGAAACAGCGCTAAACGAGGCTATCTTTACATGTAAATATTGGGGTTAGGGTAAGATGGCTAAGAAATTGGTTAGGTATTAAATTTTAAAAAGTATGTTTTTTTTAATAAAAAATAAACCAAACATTTATTTCTTAAGCCCAAATTAATACCACATTATTATTTCTTGCAGAAATAAAAACAAAATATAAACAACAAAACGAATATTCTTAAAAAAAAAAAAAACAAATAAAATTCTAAGTCAGTCGTATTTAGTTAGCCTTCCGCGTTTCCGGTGTTCTGCTTTTTGTGACAAAAGCATCTAATGTTGTTTGCCTTTTTCTTTTGCGTTGTTCTCTTAAAAGTTCTTCATAAACGGATAGAGCATCTCTAACACCACGCCTTACTTTTGAGCTCCTGTCAAAATTCGGATCATTTTCAATGAATTGATCCATTATTTCAGTTATGGTAGACAAACTCCTTTTTACAAACGCCATCGAAAGTTCTTTTTGCTCTTCTTCTGAATCACTGCTGTGAACATTTTTGTTTTCTTCTTGTTCAGTTAATTCCTTGAGCTCATCATTGAGCAGTTTGGTGGTAGACTAGCCGCTGCTTCTTGAATTATTTCTTCGACGTCTTCCACATTTACCCCTTCAAAATATGTCTGTACAATACCGCACCAAACAAGAAATACGAGTACACTCTTTCGGATATGTATTTGAAACCTATTGCTGCATACTATTTCGGGGAATCCCCGTATGCTGCGAGCGATTTCGTGGAATCCCTGGGTTGAAATAAAAGAGCGCTAAACGAAACAGCGTTAAGCAGGGTCTTACTGTATATCCGCAAGTTCAGATTCAGATACCAAAACCACAGGTAATGCTGAAGATTTTTTTCAATTAATTATCAGAAGCAGAACTTGAAATAATGGCCTTGTAAATATTACCACTTGTAATATTAAAGAATGTTAGTTACATTGTAAAATATTCATGCATTCAAATAACTAACATTAAGTTTTTAGCTCATGAAATACATTTTTTAGCTTTTCTTTTTGTGATTCGTGATTTTTTTTTAAATCCTTGTAGACAACGAAAGAACCTTCCGGCACAATAAAAAGGGGTGAGCTGAGGAAAAAAGGCACTTCTCAGAAAGCAAGTACTGGGAAATCTGAAGCAAAAGAAAAAACGGAAGGTACTTAATTTTGCCAAATATTTACCTTTTAGCATATTTTTCTTCTTTTGTTTATGCATTAATATATCCAGATTTGTGAAAGATTGATTCCTCTTGAAGATTAAAATACAAAATTTTTCTATTAGCTATAATTTTGTAATTTTTATAAATAAAATAATTTGTTAAATAGTAATTATTTATTAAGTAGAGATTTATTTATAGAAATACAAGTCATGTGCTTATAACATTAATTTTTTGAATTGATCAGTTTGTAATCAAGCATTATATTGTTTAGAAAGTTAAATTTTTTCCCAGTGTGTCAGTCAAATTAGATTTTCGAGTATTTGTTTATTAGGTATGTACCAAATGATATATGTATGCTCATGTCTTCCCAAAATAGCAGTCAACTTTCATTTTCCAATAACCCATGGCAGATATAAGTAATATGAAAAAAATAGCTTGATCAGTCAAATTTTGATCTTTTAGACTGGAATGATAATGTACAGTACAAAGTCCGTAATCCGGACTTGTCGGGACTTGGCCGATTCCGGATTTAGATCATCAATTTAAATCTGGTAAGATAGCATGCAGAAATTATACAATTAAAAATATGAAATAAAGAACAATTATGATCTAAAGGGTATCAAAATTTACACAAAAAAAGCTTAATATTTGTTTACTTTATTAAACATTTCTTTCAATATAAGTTGTTTAAGATGCTTCCACAAAAAATTCAAAAGGTTCCTTTTTCTTGTGTCATATATAGTAGATTTTCCAATGCCATACTTCTCGCATAATTTTGAGACGGATAGGCCTTTAACCATTTTTTCCAGCAATTCCACTTTTTGTTTAATGGGCATCGAAACATGCTTTCACTTTGTAGATCCTTTGGCAGCTCTAGAATTGGAAACTCTTTTTGACATAATCGAAAGCTCAAGCATAATTTTTATAAAATTGTTCCAACAGTTGGCAAAAAATAATAAGCCGGATCCAATTAGAAGATTTAGGAACAGCGCAATCTGCAACATTAACTGGAATGCCTTAGATAATTTTAGTCTAGCTGATACCGTCTGTTATACGTTAAACGCGCATGCGTAAATGCATTATACGTTTACGCATGCACATAAATTTTGTAGCTTTGAGGTCCGGATTATAGATATTCTGGATTATGGACCAATCCAAATTTGGACGTCCGGATTACAGACTTTGTACTGTATATAAAATCTGTGCATCATCTCTAGCTGTCTGAAAAAGAACATCCAAATTTGATAGCTGAAATGGATGAAAGCTTGCATATTAAATATAAAAATGAAGGATCTATTGTACTTGCCCCAGGATTAATGAATGCTTTCGTTGAATACCTAATCATTTAAATGAAGTAGCCATAATCATATTCTTGAAAATGTATTGTCAAGCAGTTTGGTGGTAGAGGAAGAGATCTCTTTTATCTGTTCCCTGGGTGTTTTACATCAAAATTGGGGCTGAACTCTCATTCTCAGAATGTAAAAGGGGGACCCTCTGATGCATCTTAGGCAGTGTTCTGAATGATGAAGTGGCTAAGTGATCATCAAGTTCAGACTTTCCTAATGAATGCTTAACTAGCAGTGTTTAGTTATAGCATGCATGTATGTAAATATTTCATTTTCGTGTCAACATCTACACTGGTCATCAAAATTTTAAAGGTTAATGATAATAAATATGGCTCTGTAAGAGCTTTCTGAGAGTTATCAGTATTCAGTAGTTATGGCTCAAGGGCAGCATTTAAGTGAAGGATCTCTCAAAGTGTCATATCAGGGGATTAGAACCACATTTTTAAACACTCGATCAGTTGATGGGCGACCAAGTGCAGCAACTGCATCAGAAGACCATTTTCTATCATATGCTCGAATAAACCGTAAAGTGACTATAAGAGCTTTAGACTGCCACAGAATTAGCCGTTCTAATGCTGCACAAAGGCGTAACGAGGTTGAACTCTATATGAGAAAAACCAATGGTTTGTGTCCCACTCACTCCATCTTCCAAGGACATCCATTTAAAACCAGTGCTATCATCGTGCAATTCAGCCGAAAAGACTCGCCCCAAGTATTGTTTACTGATGAGTTCGGATATAGTCTGAATGGTGATACTAGACATTTTAATTTCGAGAGAGGAAGGATCATGCAATTTGCCATCCCTTATGTGTGAAATATCCTGTTTCCATAACCATGATTTAATGGTTTGGGGAGGAATCGTGACAAACGCCTGCACCAAGCTGCATATATTTCATAAATGTTCTGTAGCCGCTCGTAGATAGAAAGTATCATCCGAATGGATTAGCCACCATACTCACGACAACCCAATTGAGCATGTGTGGGATGCCTTAAGACACCAAATTTCAGCATGCAAAATTCCTCCTTGTACCCTCCAAGAACTGAAAAGTACACTTTTAGAAGTGTGCCATGCCAGGACTTAATCAGCACTTTGGTAAGTCTGAGGTATGCATATCTGTCCGAGGTGGCCAAACAACTGTATTAAAGAGAAAAAAAAATTCCACAAGAGGTCCTAATTTTTCCATTTTCCAATTTTCATAAATTTGGTTTTAATTTCAATATTTTATGAATAATCAACTGCCAAGCACTGTAATTTATGTTGTGCAAATTTCTATTAATAATTTTTCGTGAAGTATCTGTTGCATTTTATTTCTGTCATTATTCTTTAATTTTGTTGACCAGCATATTGGGCTTCATTTAGTTTCAGTTTAGAAGGCTACCTGGGTTAATAATTTCTATATTAAAAATTTGGCATTGATAGCTGGATTTTTTTATTAATGCTGTGTTATTTGTAATGCACAAAGATTTCATTAAAATATTTTCTGATAGTTTTGATTTTGTTTTGTATTTATGAGAACAGAAGACGAAAGGAGATAGTCATCCTTTTAATAATGAAGTTTTAGATTTATTGCTTTTGGTAGCATGAATTTGGTTCATTAAACACCATCTTCAACTGCATTCAGAGTGATATATAAATTCGTGTTGTGCTGTGTTTTCTATTTCTTGAAAGGAAGAAATTAGTAGATATGATGGCAAATACAGTACAAAGTCTCTAATCTGGACGTCCATTATCCGGAATTATTTATAATCCGGACCTCAAAGCCACAAACTCTTATGCATGCGATGCTTAACTTATGCTTCCGATAGTGAAGAAAGTAACAGAGAACGTTATTGAAAATGAAAAAATTTCGATTGACAAGTTGGTGGGTATTCGACACAGCAATTACAGGACTTGAACAGTGGAACTTTCTAACTGAACAAGAAATTATGTCTGTTTATAAACTTAAAGAGAAAGTATTAGCACACAAAAAAAGTGACTTAAACAACTTACATGGAAAGAAATGTTTAATGAGGTAAACAAATAAATATTCTGCTTTTTTTTTTTTTTTTTAATTTTTGATACCCTTTAGATCATAATTGCTCTTTATTTCATAAATTAAGTTTTCATATGTTTAATTTTATAATTTCTGCATGCCATCTTACCAGATTTAAATTGATGATTTATAATGTGGAAAAAACCCTAACCCGGAATCGGCGAAGTCCCGACGAGTGTGGATTACGGACTTTGTACTGTATATTAAAACCCTAAAAGTTTATAAAAAGTAATATTGGGGAAGTGCTATTAGCAGTCACAGTGGTTAACAGCTTAGCTCTCTGAGTGGCATGACCATCTTTATCTGGTCATGAGATGTTTTGTCACTTAGTATATATTAGTTTAAAATGTTTTGCTTCCTTATTACTTTCTGTAATGATGTAAATACCATCTTTAATGGATGCAAGTTTATTGAAATGGAGACTGAAATAAGTAATTATACAAATTTAGCTAGTAAATGCTATTTAAATACAGGTTTTCGTGAGCAAATTAAGAAAAGCCGTAAATTTAGCTAATAAATGATATTTAAATACAGGTCTTTGTGAGCAAATTAAAAAAAGCTGTGCCACTCAGAGGGTTATTACATTCCTTTTTGTATGCCATAGGAAGTCATTTTTCACCTAACCTTTACTGGTCTTTGATATATTGTATTCAAATCAAAATATAGGCATTCCATTTTTCTTGCATTATAATTTTGAGAGGGGCTAAATTATAGTATTTGACAGGGAGAAAATATTTTACTTAAATCAAGCCATATATAGCATCTTGTATTGCAAAAATTGATTCAAAGTGTTTTTTTTTTTGGTAATTCATTAATGAAGATTTTGATTAATTAAATCACAAAATGAAAATTTTATTTTATGCAAATAGGTGAGACAAAAGAAACAGCTGAAAATGCAGAATCTGCAGAGACCGCTGAAGAAAAGGAGAAGGGTGAAAAGCAAAAGTCTGCTGAAAAATCTGATGACAAAGATGTTGATGTAAAAAGCAAAGATGGCACAGAAGAAACTAAAGAAGGTACATGTTTTTGGTGTTAACTATTTGTTGCATGCATATGGGTTTGCAGTAGATTGAATGCACACAGATTCGATTACACAGGTTGATAAAATTTGTTTTGTGAAAAGAAACACTTCAGAGTTCTGGAAATTTTCCAGAGAAATAATCATACATGTGTTCACAATATCACAGAGTACAATCAGTAGGTACACCTCAAACTACTAAGAATGTTAAAGACCATGCAATGCAAAGCACTTTTAAAAAGTGAAGCTTTCATTACTCCGAAGTCACTCAGAACTAGCTATTATGACAAAGGGCAGATGCTGTCTCTGGCCTTGTATAATTTTCACCTGACCGCTAAGATATTTCTAGTACTTTATGCTTCTCGAAATCCCTCAAAGGCAGATGAGGGCCAAATTACGGGTGCAGCTACACAGAACTTAAATTACAGTTGTTATTCAATTAATATGCCTACTATGGTGATACAGGGTCTGAACCAAAAAGTTGCCAAGTTTGGTGACTTTGGGCGATTTTTTGCCACAAAAATTAGTTGAGCTTGCTGATATCTCACCAAATCAGCGAGTACTCAATATTAAGTAGACTTGCCCCTGTATTAATTTTCTCGCAATCTTCCTCCTTTAGATTTTCATGTTAACATTATACAAAAGAAATACAAGTTACACATAGAATTACACGAAAATCATCACCATACAGATACTAAAGCATATACAAGGTGTGGCAATTAATTTCCAAGACTGCTCTAATAACACCAGAAGAGATGATGTGAAAACGTAACATTTTAATATGTTTTGAAGTAATCCCCCATCTAGCATAATACACTTCTGTTCTCAGCTGTATAAGTTGTGGAAACAACTTTTAAAGTCCTCTTTCGGAAGGCTCTTTAAATGTCAATGTCACGTTCTTGATGTCTTCAAAATCCACAAATCGTGTTCCTTTAATCACAGTTTTGAGTTTGGGAAACGAAAAGAAGTAAGGCAGATGATGCAGCTCCACGACCTCATGCGTAGCCACAAACCTCTTCACGTGGGGGCAGGCATTGTCATGCAATGTGACGTTGACAAGAGCCTTCCGAAAAGGGGACTTTAAAAGTTGTTTCCACAACTTGAACAGCCGAGCACAGAAGTGTATTATGGCAGATGGGGATTACTTCAAAACATACTAAAAGGTTAAGTTTTTCACATCATCTGCTCTTGTTTTATTAGAGTAGTCCTGGAAATTAATAGCCACACCTTGTAGTATCTGTATGTATGGTGATATGAAGATAGTTAAAAATAAGTTAAATTGAGTTAGAACAAAAATTTCAAGATTTCAGTGCCATTCAAATAGAATTGGATATTTTTACCATGCCTTTAAATGTAAACTGTGAAGCAGTGAGATCAGATTTGAAGCTTGAATGAATTGAGTTGCAATCTAACAATCATTTCAAGCAGTTTTTTTCTAAATATGCCAAAGTTAGTTTTATAAATCATTATCAAAAGTAAGTTTCCCAAATTTAATATCTCATGCCGAGAAAATCAGTGTTATGTTTGCTTCACCTTATATATGGAACAAGTATCTTCAACTATGAAACTTAGAAAGAATTATTTCAGAAGTAGATGAGTATTTAGCCTCGTTGCCTAGAATCAGTACATCTCACTTCGAAACTCAATATAAGAAACTTTAAAAAATGAAATCATAATTTCATTCATCTCATTAACAAATTTAAATTGTAATACTTATTTTTATTTTTAAAATTTTAGAAAAAAATTATCTTGGCCCGCAAAACTTTTTGTTTTCGATTTTTGATCCACGACCGGAAAAGTTTGCCCATCTCTGGTCTAGATGGGGGAATTCTTCGATCATGACATTGCATTCAAGAAAAGCGTACATTTTATTATGACTGTGATATTAGGAATGTCATGATGAATTGCATTTTCAACATATAATTACTAGGTTTCTTAAATAATTAAAATTTTCTTTTTCAAAGGTGAAAAGAAAGAGGGGAAAAAGCGAACACCATCTAAAGAAAAAGAGCTACGAGCACGTGAGAAGTCAAGAGATAGAAAGAGATTACGTGGTCGAAGATCCAGAAGTAGAGACAGAGGAAGGCCTGGATTCCGTGGTGGTTTTTTCAGACGTGGGTATGGCCGTGGCTTTGGATCCCGCAGACCCTTCATGAGCAGATTTGTGAGTATTGACTGCAAAGAAATGTCAGCGTTATTATTTTTTTCAAAATTTAATTGTAATAATGTTTTGAGTGATCTATGATAGTAAATGAAACTGTATTGTGAAGTTTTAAAATATTCTTTCTAGATGGATCGTTACCATAGAGATCGTATTAGAGATAGAGATCATGATTCTGATCGACGAAGGTTTTCTGATATTATAAGGCAGAGAGAGATTGAAAGAAAGAATCGTGAAGAATCCATCCGTCTCGAGCGAGAGAGAGAGAGATTAAGGTAAGCAAAATAAATTCCAAATAGATGTTTTTGTTGACGTGTGACATATTTAAAGCTGCCCAAAAATTATTTCACATGATATCTTTCTCTCTCTTTTTTTAATAGGATTGAAAGAGAGAAACTGGAGCGAGAACGAGCAGAAGTTCTACGGCTTGAGCGAGAAAAGCAGCGAATGGAGAGAGAACGTTTAGAAAGAGAAAGGGCTGAATTGCGAAAGCGCACACAAATGACGTAAGATATAATTTTCTTCTTATTGTCTTATTCTGTTGGATTCTGTAATCCTTTATTTTTATTGTATTTTTATCAAATAAGAAGATAGTTGTTTCTTCGTATTTTTGGTAAAACCTTGGGGTAAAACACTTTTGTATACTTTTTGGATTTTATAATTACTTACTGTATTTCATCCAGTCTTTTTTGAAAGATTTCTATGTGTAAGATTGTTTTGCCAATGATATCTTAAAAATAAGGACTGTATTATTTTTCACCGCTTCTTCTCTTTTTTTTTTTTTTTCTTTTTTTTTAAATTCTGAATACTATATATAGGAGCCCTCCCAAAAATGCATTTTTGAAACCATGTCTATTTCACACACATAGTGATTTTTAAATATTAAATAACTATGCCTATTTTACCCTGCTCTATCTTAACCTGGTAAGAGCAAGTAAAGGAAGCTGAAATAAGCAGTTTTTATAATGGAACTTCTGTAAAGCAGTGCTCCGCAACCTTTTCTCACCTGCGACGCACAAAAAATCTTTCTGGAATTTCGTGGCACACCAAAAGCTAATGTATATATGTATTGATTTATACACAAAATTTACAATAAATTTTTGTTTTTAATTTGAGAAATATACAATTATAAAAACCATAACATATTTATTTATATGCAATCATAATAATTATCAATGTGATACCTGCGCTTGCTTCAATGAACACAAAAGTTTTATATTCGGCTCAATATCTGACAACGCAACACGAAGTTCTTGGTCAAGATCTTTTAAGCATGGCCGCTTATCATTTTTAATTAATAATAGAGTTGAAAAACTTTGCTCACATAAATATGTCGTAGGAATGGAATGTTAAAATTGGAATGGAAGTAATGTTAAAATTGCTTTTTCGGAAATATGAGAATATTCTTTTTTAAAAAAAATTAAAAAACAAAAATTCTTCAATTTGATTGGTTTATTTCAAATTAAAAAAAAAAGTTTTAGAGCTATTATTTTTAATTAAAATGGTCTGAAACCAATATATTTCATTTAAATTTATGTTTAAAAAAAAGTTATATATTTTTGAGTTCCGAGTTATCAAGGAAGTGCCGAAAAAATTCAAATGCTGACACACTTACAATCACACACAACCACACACCAGTGAAATATATAAAAACATTTAAAATAGACATTATTAAGGGAAAAAAATGTCATTGTGTATTAAATACATAATAAAAAATTGCAAGATGTCAAATACATGTATTTGATTGCGGCACACCGGTTGCGGAGCAGTGCTGTAAAGGAATGAAGATTGAAGTGATAGAGTGTGTTGTTGAGATCAACAGGTATTAGTGGTTTGCTAGTGCAAATTGTTATTCCCCATTATTACATCAGTACATGAACACATAGTTCACCAACACCCATTTTTATCTCTGAAGGTGATACATAAATAGAGCAGCTGTTTAGAGAGCATATAGAGAATGATTCCAAAGTAGGCAGGTGTCAGAGCACATAGAATCCAAGCGTGTTAACCAGGAACTAAGAATTAAGAAACTAAGAGAATGTATCACTCAATGTAGGTGTGGTGTGTGAAAGTAAAGATAGCCCAGAATTGTAAGTGGGAGAAGTCATGATATATGCATTTGAGCTGTGATCTTACTACAAGCACAAGAACTGCTGGATATAAGCCAACCAACCATTTGGAAGACTTTTAAATGAGGAAGAAGTGCAAATCATTTGCAGCGTAGATTTTTAAACTGGATTTTACCCTCTGTTACCTACAGCTGGTTGCAGGAAACCCGATTTCTCTAAATGTATTTTAGTAACTGATGAGGCTATGTTTACCTTTTCGGGTATGTTTAACACCCACACTTTTAACTTGTAGAAACATGAAAATCCATTTAGCATGAGATTGTATGCCTAAAGGGAAAGATTCTGTACTAACCATTTGAGTCTCAGGTGGCTTTGTTTATTTTGCATCGATGAATCCCGATCGGAGCAGTAGCGCTTCTTGTATTTGTTAGGTAACGCGATTCTCATCTTTTTCTCATTGCTCCATCACATTTATTGCAGTTTGCAAAGTGATCGGATGTATTCTTGCATAAGTGTTTCTCATTTTGTCTACAATGTTGAAAATGTACTGGGTTTTCTTGACATAAAATCTCAGCAGCACTATTGTGCTTCTTGAGACTCAAACATTTAATATTTGGGCTGGCACAAGTACAATTACTTAGAAGGATTGTACTTTCTCAACCTAGTCATCTAGTTATACACATGGCATCTTTCAACGAAATATTATTTTGGAACTTTTGTGTTCCTCCAGCTGTTTACACATGAATGGGGTTATAGAATGATACATTGCTAGCTCACGTTAGTGGTGATGTAAATTACTTTGGCACTGCTTATGGGCTTCCATGGAGTTCCGTCCACACAATCCAATAGCGCCAAGGTAATTTACATCTCTGGATTGTGTGGACGGAAGTCTATACAACTCATAAGATAACAATTTGCATATTTATAAAACTATATTGCGTCTCATACTATGTTATGCCTGCTCGGTTTGGGCATATTCTTGCAAATCATATAGGAAAAGGTTACGGAGGCACAAAATTGATCAGCAACTCGCCCTGGTACGCTCGAAATAAAAAAAAAAAAAAAAAAAAAAAAAACTTCATGATGAATTAGGCATTGAAGAACTGAAATATTTTTATTGCTGGAATTTTTATGCTAACCTCGCAAGTATCCAACAACCCTGTTATAAGGGTCTACAATTATGATGTAAATGGAATATGGCCATATTTAGTATTCATATTGTTTAATTTGACTTACTTTACCTGTACTGTAGCTATGATTTAAGTGCACCATTTGACTCGCACTATCTGTATTGTACGTATCTCTAGGACTCTGATTAAAGCCAGCTCATTTCCCCTTTCTCAGCTCTACTAGATGGCATTATCAGGTCTGTTGGAACTCGGCGCACACTTTATTTCTGCTAGAATATCTTTCCCATTACTCAAAAATATGATCATAATTTATAAAAAAAATATATCTTATGTTAGTTACTCATGACAGCATTTGAAACAACCTACATGTTTGACAAGGGATAGGGTCCTTGGCTCAGGCACCCTGGTGTTACACTGCTTCTAAGTGCGACTGACTTTTAAAGGTTGTGACGAGTCCTTGGCCATCATAATCACCAGATTTTGCATGCATGGATTTTTTCTGAAGCATGATCTATGTAATTTATTGATTTCTCAATAACTTACTTAGATCATAAAGGTCTAGTGGCTAGTTCATGATTGTGCACGAATAGAGTGCACTCAAATCTTTTCCTTAAAACATTAACAATTTTAAGCGCTGTGGTACTTTTCTCAATGCTAGTACCTGCAGGTAAATGAATAAAATTTTATCATGTTTTTATATTTAAAATAAAAGATAATTTTAATGGTAATTGAATTCTGTAACAAAATATCGTTATATTAATTTTTAATGTTATACGTGTAAGCTGTGTGAAAGGATGCCATGTACTTTTTAAATTAAATATTGCTGTTAACATAATCAAATTTGTGGCAAATTTTAACTGTTTCTTTTTGGGGGTAGACTAAATTTCACAAATATTCGTATGTGCTAGTAAATGTACTGAAGAGTCAAGACATTATGACCACCTACTAGGTAAATGTGCAAACTTTGCCCTGTAAAACGGCAGCAGCTAACCTTGGCATGGATGTCACAAGTTCTCGGTAGATTACTTACTACAGGTTATACCAAATGTCTAATCATGTTGTATCAAAGGTGCTTGTCTTCGGGCCATTACAATCTGTCCTCTATCAGATTTGCTTTTAAAGAAATGAATATACATATTTATTACATATTGATATGTTAGTCTGAAAGTACATATCCGTAATTAATTTTTTCAAGAATAGAGTAGAATCAGAATGTTATAGTAGGTAATTTTAAATTAAAATATATATATTGAATGATGTGTGTCTAAATCAAGTCTAACTTAACTTGTTCCTACATCTCTGATAAATAGCCATTATGCTTTAATAAACTTGAAACTGAAATGAAGTCTTTACAGTGCAAGACTAAGCAGTCAGATTATAAAAATGAACATTTCTTAAAAAAATTTTATTAAATATTTTTTATAGTCTTGAAGATAGAAGGGGTTCCAAAAGAGGCTTTGAGGGTCCTCGTAAAGATATTGATCCTTATTGGGAAGATAGAAAGCGCCATGCTGGACCAAGAAGAGAACCATCTCTTGACTCTCCGACTGGGTATGTATATATGGTTTATAATATGTTATTAGATGTCTTCCTGTTCTTAAATCTTTTGCTATATTATAAGTGCTTAATTTATAAAAGTTTTTTAATTTTTGTTAACTAAGATAATTTATTTTTTATGTAGGTTTGGAGAATTTGGAAGAGATCGTGGTGCCTTTTCTGACAGAAGAGGTGACAGATTTGAAGGAAGAGCCAAAGGTGGTGATATTTCCCCTACTTTTAATAGCTCTGGACGTAGAGAAGGAAGGCATGAGCATGTAGAAGAGAGGCCAGCTTTTCATCGTGGTAATAGAAATGCTCGTGATACAGCCGAAAGAGGAGGAAGAGATGAATGGAAAGGCAAACAAACTCGTGATCGTGGATTCGATCGACCTGGAAGAAATAATTTCAACGAAAGAGGTCGTAATTTTGATAGGCCTCATCCGTGGGAAGGTGGACCTCCTGACAGGGATCAGAACAAGTTTGGTAATAATGCACAAATGGGAAACTCTCAGTGGGTTCCTGTAAATAAAATGACTGAAAACTGGGGTCGTATGGATCAGCCTCCACAAGAGCGTTGGGGAGCTATGGATTCTCGAGTGCAACCTGGAATGAATATGGGTCCACCTAATGTAGGACATCCCCCAAATCAAATTGGCATGTTTGGCAATGCTGGTGGAAATGAAATGATGAACCCAATTGCTGGACACTTTTGTGTCGATCGTTTCAATACAAATAGTCGGCGTTTCTAATTTCTTGTAAAGCATTAGGACTTGCTTTTGAACTCTTACTTGAGTTTTGGAACAAATATTTATTCGTTCCTTGGTGAGTAAATTTGATGATGTGTATAGTACAATGCGCCTGCATTATAATATGTTTTAATCTTAATTATTTTGTTATATCAGATTTGTTCATCTACATTATATCAGACTTATTCATCAGCATTATGTTTTTGCTGAAGTAATCCATTTTTGCTATCACATCAAACTGTATGTTTTAATGTGAGACATAAATATCATGAGGTTTAGTTATTTTGTAACCATCTTTATTGCATATAGTACATTTTCCAGTTTTACCGATTAAAGTACTTTGAAATTCACATATATGTTAAGTTTTGCTATTTTTATGTATGTGTGAGTTTTATTGTTATCATTTTGGTTCATGCACATTATTAAAACTGTGTCATTGTCTTGTATGGCTGACTGTTAGTACAATAAAAATTTAGTATAAATAATGGTCTTTTCATTAACAAAAACAAATCCATTCATTTGTTTTTAAGTACCTATATTTTAGTACAGGCTGCTAAGTAAGATTAATTTTGTTGAAGATGTAATGTCTGAATAACGAAATGGAAATTTAGCTGTGGTTCTCTTTCAGAAATGAAAATTAACACAAAACATCAATTTTTCCTCATTTTCATCCTCACTTTTCTCCGTATGTAGTGAAAGTTATCAATATTTCTGAATTTATAAATAAGTACTAACATCATAAACAATCATAGTCTATTGACATATACTTTTCAGAGAAACTGCAACAATTAGAAACTCGTGGGTTACAAGGAAGGTGTTTGTTGGAGGAAATACAAACTGTAAATCATTAAAATTTCAAAACTGTAAGTCAGACCAGCATGTTAAGTTTAGTATATTGGTTTTCATTTGGTATAAATGGCTTAAAAAGTAACTAAATTGAACATTTCTGATTTTAATTAATGTCGGTCATCTTTTAACTATCCAAAAGGACAAATGATGTTTATGCCAATATTCTTAAAGTACTCATTTTCTGAAAGCTCTGCGGTTCTGTTGTTGAGGGAATCGGGAAAACAAATTCGAGTAGGACTCCATAAAAAGTACATTCCATTATTTATTCCAGCAGTTCCCAACCTGTGGTACGCATAACCACGATCAGAAGCATGTGAAAGATTTAAGGGAAAAAAGGTGAGTGAAGAGAAAGTATTCAGAAAATTTGAATTTGGAATGGAGGGAAACTTGAAATTTGATGAAAGGAAAAGCAATTTCAACTATTTCAGATTAATTTTGCCCAAATATGTGCAAATACAATGTAAATGAGTTGATCCTGCCCACACATACTTGTGTGCGCAATGAATTGGAAGTTGATCTGTCAGCACTATCATTATCTTCAGAGCAGATGTTTTTATTTTATTTGGCTTATAATTCCTTACTAAATGTAGTATTTCATCTCGATGTACTCTGTCTTTAATATGATTATCAAATTCCTCGTCATTATAATTCTCTTTCGATAGTGAAGAAAGTGAAACAGGTTGTTGAAAACGAAAAAATTTTGATTGACAAATTAGTCGGTAGACACAGCAATTATAGGACTTGAACAGCGAAACTTTATAACTGAACAAGAAGTTGTCTGTTTATAGAATTAAAGAGAAAGTATTATCACATTAAAACGAAGCAACTTAAAACAACTTACATTGAAAGAAATGTTTAATAAAGTAAACAAATAAATATTAAGCTTTTTTTTGTAAATTTTGATACCCTTTAGATCATAATTGTTCTTTTATTTCATAAATTACAGTTTCATATTTTTAATTTTATAATTTCTGCATGCCATCTTACCAGATTTAAGCTGATGATCTATAATCTGGAATCGCCGAAGTCCCGACGAGTCCGGATTAACAACTTTTGACTGTAATATATAAAGGAAATTATTAGTAAATCAAATCAAACGGTATAAAATCAAGATCATTCTTCTTTAACACATACAAATAAATGATATATTAAATTTTTTATATGACTTCAAGCAACTGAATATGATTAAAAGTTTAAATAATATTTGAGTAATTCTGAAGTACACTGAAATCGCAAGTTTTTGTAGGAATATTGCATATAAGGTAAAGACTACAGAAACTCGTGAAAGAGGATTAGTATACGAATAAACGTACGCAATTTAAAAGCACAGACGTTATGTTTACGAAATAAATATTTCAAAGACGGAGGGGAAAAATTGTACCTTACAACTGACATGTCAACCTTACAACAGACTGAGGGGAAAAATTGTACGTTAAATTACATCCTCATTACACTGATAAACAGTTATTACTGGTGTGTGTTACAAAAGAGATTTTTATATATGATAATTAATCTTTCCTGAGCATTATTTTGTGTTGTCATCCCTAAATAAGAAATTGCCTACCTGGTGTTTTTGATGACTTTAATTAGATATGTATATACAGTCGAAAGTCTTTATTCCGGATGTCCATAATCCGGAATGATCTATAATCCGCACCTCAAAGCTACAAACTTTCATTGATTGTTGCATTTATATGTTTATCTGAAATTTATTAATAATGAATTTCAATTTATGGTCTTTAAAAAGTAAAGAAATGTATGCATTCTACTTTATCTTTCTAGTTCATCATTTATTACGTAGTTAATAGCATAAATACATAACAAATTTTATGACTATTTTTAAACTGATCGCTGTGAAATGCAATTCTTCAAAAAAATCAACAATGCAAAAATTAAAGGGAAAGTGTACAATTTGAAGGTACAACTGAGTTTTTCATAAACATGTAAAAAAGTGCCAAATAGAAAATCACATTAATAATCATTATGTAACAAAATAAATCAGTAGACTAGTATATTAACAAAGAACTTAAATTAGTTTTATGATTCTTATAATATGAAGCCAAAACATGATTGTTAGGTTTGCTTTGGTTTACCACAAAGCACATGGTGATTAGGAATGAAAAAAGTTACATAAATTTTGCCAAGTTAATACTTGACAACTTAAGTTACTAGCATAGGAATGCATCCATTCTTCTACATGTGTATTTTAAGAATACAAAAGCAATAGTATTAATATTTTCATAGCATATTTTTGCTCATTAAATGATAATTTTTAACTTATTTCAAAATTCTTTTGCTCAGTAATTTATTATCTGCACAGTTTAAGTCAGTAATGTTATGTATAGTTTATTAAAGTTGATTAAATATTTAAGCAAATTATGGTTTATCAGTTAACCCTAGAATACTAACCCTTTACATTTGGTAAAGGGTATTTCCCCGAAGACAGAAAATATCCCACATTCAGTTATAACTGTATCTTAAATACAAAATAACATAGATAGTAAATCTGAGTGATATTGGAGCTAGTGTGCAAAGTTTAGAAGTTACCTGAACATTTTATTGTTGTGCGAGTAAAATTTATGCAGCTTAGCATTCTAGTGTTAAAAGAGTTCCACAAGATCAGTTAAGAGACTTAAGGTTACAGTTATTTACTTATGTATTTTATTCTTGCTTTTACAGCGAAGTCAGCAGTAACACTGAGAAGGGATAGCATATATACAACAATACCATACCCTTATAAAGAAGATTTTAAAAATATTTGTCAAGTTGTAGAATAACACAGATGCCATCAGAGGAAAATAAGACATTTTACCTCTGATGGACAAACCCTATGAACTTGGCTGGGATTGTAACACCTATTTTCTATCACATGGAATAATTTAATGTAGGAAGGGGCCCTTTTAGCATTGAGAGAAAAGAGACTTTAATGCATCTTCTGGTCCTTTATCAAAGAATATGTGCAACCTATTTCCCAGCCCTCGTTTATGTCTTCCTATTGCATAAAAAACCTGACACATTTGATGGCAGATGTATCAAAAATTTAATTTTGAATGTCTGTTATGGATTTTCATAGCACTAATTGCCACTTTTAAATTTTAAAACCACCTTTGGCATGTTAACACTTTCTGCGTGATACTTTTCATTTTTCCATTAAATGTTTCCCCAAGGCCAGGACCAGATTTAGATTTGACGAGATCCTAAGCTGTTTGAGATATGGGGCCTTTTGTGAGGGATATGAGTCAATTTTTTTAACATGGAATATGCTACAATTTTTGGGGGTGGCTCTAAGCTATAGCTTGTGCAGCTTATACATAAATCCGGTACTGCATGAGGCAAAGGTTTCATAAGATCACCAGCTTGTTCCAAATTTATTCTGTCGTAGAAGAAGTGTTTCCTTTCTTTCTATATTCATATCAAATGCATAAAATGCCTTAAAGCATGCTACTTTGCTAATCCTGAACTCGCGTGTAGCATGTGATATCAAAATAATCAATTAACTAATCTAAATTTGGTTTGGAAATAAGTTATGCATTTTCTAATGACTATTTATTCTTGATATATATTTTTTCAAATAATTTTTGATTAAAAATTTTAACTTTTTAATGTTAAAAGGTCAAAATACAAATGAAGATTACGAATGTACACAGTGCTAGTTTTTTGCCAAAGTGAACAACAATTAAGTTAATATCTGTGATCGGCTGAAAAATTAAAACTTTTGTCTGTTATAATAATGCTGTTTCCCTTTATCTTGCAAACGGTTTTTCCATTTATGACACAAATGCAAGAAGTAATACCTTTTAAAAAATTCCTTCATAGAGGTATAGGAAGAGACTGCATTTATCATAATTATTTATCAGCCAACCTAGCCTAACTCTTTGTGACTTATTTCACTTGGCTGACAGTAACACCTGTGCTCATAAATTTTTTCGTGGTATTATGTGCAGGATTGTGTCTACCTCAGGTGCCTTATATAGGTGACAGTGCGACTTGACCAAATTCCATCTCAATTTTGAAGGAGAATCCCCAAAGGGAAAATTGTCAGGATCATTTTGCCACCCAGTTACTCGATAGAACATTCGGCTCGCTGTGTATTGCAGCTACCCCATGCCGCAAAGACACTATGCACATCCAAGCCTTTTTAAGGATTTGATAGCGGGCCCAATGATATCACAGCCAGCAGTGCCGACCACTATCCTAATCACTGATTGCTCAGATTATTTTCTCAGGATTCGTTAACTTTGTCTTGGATTCGATTTGACTTGAAATTGTATAGCTTCAAAATTTCTTTAATCATCTTTGATTAGGATCTTTGCAAATCAGAATAGGGCAGTCTAAAAAACTTCCCCGGTATATGAGCCCCTGCGACCTATCTGCGTAACCAATTGAAATTAAACTTAGACTATTATTTGAAGGTATGCATTCTTTCAACCTGTTCAACGATTCAAGACAGAGTCATTTCCTGTAACTTTGCAGTTCATGGCCATCACAATCCCCCAACCTCACTTCAATGGATTTCTAATTCTAGAGTTTTCTAAAACCTAACCATGCATCACATCCGTAAGATTTATTAGAATTGCAAAATGAAATAAAACTTAGAAGTAATACAGATTCCATCTGTGATGTTACTCTCATCATT